GTCTGTGTCAGATTGTGGGCTCCTGTAGGGGACATAAGTTTCCTGGATAAGTTGGGAACAAATTGTACAGAACTTTGAGTACCAAGAATTTGGTCTTTTTCCTATAGACAGTGATCACTTCCCTAGAAGAAAACTGGACTTTCCCTCCATAACTTATGGAATAGTCTGAATTAAGCACTTTTTTCATTTAGGAACAGAGCAGCCTGAGCTCCTAGAAAATGCCCAATTGGCAAGCTGCCAGGACCAGGCTTACCTGACCAGTGAATTTGGAGTGATGTCCAGAGTGTGACTTTGTGGTTGACTGATTTATTTTTTCCTGAGGGAGGGAAAGAGGTGGCACATTTAAGCACATGACAATAATGTCACCTGGGAGAACCGGAGAATCCTGAGGCTATAGATGTGTGATGGCTGGTCAGGGTGAGTGGTGAAGTAGACCTTTCACCTTGGTATACAGTATTGCTTGAGGCACGTGCATAAGCAGATTTAATCATTCTTCCTACCTTTCAATCTATCTCCCTTTATTTTTGTCTTTGTTTTCATGGAACTCTTGTGTGTCAGGGGGTTAACAAGCTAGCTCGGAGGAGATGAAATAAAAAGACCACTAAGTAGGGAGTTGAAATATCTGGACTGTTTTCTAGGCTCAGCAGCTAACTCATTGAGTAATTCTGTTTACTCTCTGGGACTCAGTCGCTCCACATATGAAAGAGTAGTTAGAACCAGATGAAACCAAGGCTCCCTCCAGCTCTGTGATTCTAGAACAGGCACGTGTCACAAAGGTACCAAAGCATGCCACAGCAACCAGGAACAGAGCTACTGGGGACAGAAGGAGGATGCTGGGCCACAGAGGCAGGCTTCAGTAGCCTCCACAGGGCTGACCCAAACCTTTGGGTAAGGCTGTCCTTCTCCTAGGGAGCAGACCCTGCTGGAATTGGAGCACAGTGAGGTCTATGAACCTTGTGTTTTGATCCTGGCAACCCACCCCTTCCATCCCAGAGGCTGGCTCACCTGGGTGAGTGGTGCCTGAAAGGAGGAAGGCAGGAAGCCAGGAATTTAGCTCTAGGTAAGTAAGTCTGCAGGGGGTCCCAGCTTGTATGGGGGAAACCACTGATGAAAATGAGTGTGCTTAGGGGCCAGCCGAGTGACTTAGTTGGTTAAGAGTTGGCTTAAGAGCGCGAGCTCTGAGCAACAGGGCCACCCAGTTCAATTTCCACATGGGCCAGTGACGCTGTGCCCAAGCTGAGCTGTCACTGAGGCAGGATGGCTCAGCTGGTGTAATAACAAGATTGTTTGTTTGATGGTGGGCTAGGCCCACTCACAACTAAGACTGAACTTGGTACCTTGAGCTGAGCTGCCACCCGGATGGCTCAGTGGATATAGCGTGCGCTCTTAACAACAAGGCTGCTAGTTCAACTCCCGCATGGGATGGTGGCTATGCCCACCTGCAACTAAGACTGAACTCAGCAACTTGAACTTAGAAGTCATGAGCTGCCAACAGGAAGCCAGATGGCAAATGGCGCCCTCCACAATGAAGATTGAAGAACAACTTGGCTGGTCCCCTTCCCCAATTCCCCAACACTGTTCCCCTCCCCCAATTTCCCAATACAAAAATCTTTAAAAAGAGAAAAAAGAAAGAAAATGAGTGTTCTTAGCCCCCATCCACCTACCTCCTCCTAACCCCCTTGGGCCACCTGCAGCTGCAGGTGACTGGTGGGGTTTAAAGGAGAGGGCCCCCTGCAAAGAGGATTCAGCCTGTTTCTGTTCTTTAGCATTTCTAGAATAGAGAGTGGGTGGGAACCGACCCAAGTAAAGTCCCAGAGACGCTAACACTGACGCACAGGAAAGCCTCAAGTGGGAGGAGAAATGCAAATCCTCTACTGATGATGGCATCAGAGACTTTGTCCCGGGGACTGTGAAGGGAGATTCTGGCTTTGGACTTGATCACTGCCTGGGACCTAGGCTGAGGGAGCCAGGTAAGTAGGCAGACCACACCATCATATTGCTTTTTCAGAGCAGCATGGACCAGGAAATGCAGGATGCTGCTGAGGCTTTGCTGTTCACTTGATGTTTTGACAGTTATTTTCCTTTAACTTGCCTGAGGTTGGGTGATTTTGAAAAGAAGCGTCCAACTCCGTGATTCAAAGATGCACTCAGGTGCAGGTCTCTTAGCGGGAGATTCGCGTGTGTGCTGTGCTGTGAGGAATCTGAACGGTGGGTGGGACAGTTGTAGCTGATGTGGAGGTGTGTCCTCGCCAAAGTGAGCCCCTCTTTACTTTCTTAGCCAGCTTCTCTGAGTTATGGTGTCTGACATTAGACTGCATACCTGGGTTTCAGAAAAAAGTCCACAGTTAGAATAACCACTGATTGTGGCTTTGATGAGAGCAAGTGATATTTTAGGGCAGGTCATCTCCTTTGCAAGCTCTAGGCCTCAGAGCCAACAAGGCACCATTAGCTCCCAACAGTGGGACAAAAACAAAATGCCCCTTTATATAGATCTTCTAGGACCAGACAGGCATTCAAAGAGAATAGACAGGCACTCAGTTTTCGAAACAAATGTTCCATAGTTTTATGGGGATGGGAGAATTAGCCCTTAGAGAGTGAAAGCATAGAAATGTACTGAGGGCTGTCTGAAGACATTTCTAGAGGCTGCAACAGAGAAGACTGTCTTAGGACTGTATATCTTGTCCTTCCCTTTCTCAGCCTTGAGTTCAGCTCTCTGAAAGTTGAACTTGGGTCCTAAGAGTGATCTATCTAACTTTAGGATAGGTTCAGTTGACTTACCTGTTTGTTCGAAAACAGATTTTTACCCAAATCATAGCGGATTTAGTAATAGTAGCAATTACAATTTTAATGCTATTTTCAGCTCATGTTGTCTCTTGTCATTAACTAGAATAAATTGATGGGATATAGCAGGACAATGTCAGTAGTAGCACGGGAACAACATTCCAATTTTGTGTGGAATATAGTGTATGCACCCGGTATTTGGAAAGAGAGATGAATCTGGTGTCATGAGACCCCAGGTTAATCCTTAAAGCTGTACATTGAGGGCAGGGGTCAATTCTGACCCTCAGATTTTTTTCATTTTTAAAGTTGAGGTAATATTATCCACCTACCTTATTCATGACAACATCAGGAATACCACTTATTAATTTAATAGGCACTTAATGAGCACTTACAATGTGCCCAGAATTGTCATGTGTAAAGGTCTTCATAAATATAAAGTGATACGCAAATGAGACATTATTTCTTTTCCCAGTTGCTTTCTTTTAGCAAAACATTGGCAATCATTTTCTTCTATACATTTAGATCAGAGAAAAGATGTGCCCCCCAAATGGTTCCATTTGAAACCTGAAATATGTGAAATTTATTATCATGGTGTCCCATAGGCAAAAGGAAACCTTAACTTACCTACAAGATAGGTTGAAATACTATGGTGATTAATCATATAAAAATTTTTTCTTTGATCTAGAATTGCTGACAAAACAATTAAAAATTTGACTTTTGAAAGAGTAAAATAGTGTAACTTCAAGGAGATGTCATGTTAATTTTCCCAAGTTAGGAAATACATCTAAAGCTTCTAAATCAGTTGAAATGGGGCTATGTGGGGGAAACACATACTTTTCGTTTTATCACAGGTTGTCAAACACATATCAAGTGTGGTTTCTTCCCCAAGTAACTTGAGGGTTTAACCACTATCAGGCGTACATCAGAGACTCCTTAAAAGTAGACTTTAAAAACTCTGCCCAGCTGTAGTGGATCATCACAAAGACAAATAAAAATATGTATTGGTTCAGAGATGTTTTGAACTGAGAGAATTAGAGCCCACAAAAAGGCATATGTGAAACTCTTTATAAAGCTAAGACCAAATTAGACTAGAACTCTAGAAACACAAGATTGACTCTAGAAGTCAGACAAATCTGAAATAAAGAAAAAAGCACTGGGCAATTTCATATGAAAGAAGTTTTTATTGGGTATTCCTCACATGTAAAGCCATAAGAAGGTCTTAGGAGGTATAGCTAAGTATGTTGTTTGCCTTTAAATTGCTCAAAGTCTAACAGTGTGGAGGGAGCAAGGGATATGGGAGGAGCTGGTTGAGAGTGCAAATTCGTGTAGACTAATGGGGGTGGGGTGTTGAGGAGGAGTGAAAGCTTCCTGGAGAAGGGGGAACAGGAGGAGTTCCTGTTAGAGCAAAAAGGAGGTGGTTTGGGGGCAGAGGGAGTATCCTGTTTCCTTCATTAGGGATGACTTACAGAAACGGTTTAGAATTGCTTTATCTTTGGCTTTGAAAGCATTTTCTCTTCTGTTTTAATTGACCATAAAAGAAATTTTTCTTCAGTTATTTAACTAATGGACAACATTGTGTTTATTTGAAATCTAAGAAAAGAATGAAAGGTACCACAGTTATTAACATTACTTTTAAACCCTAAGTTTACCCCTTCTTTTATAGCATGTCTCAGTGGAATCAAGTCCAACAGTTAGAAATCAAATTTTTGGAGCAAGTAGATCAATTCTATGATGACAACTTTCCTATGGAAATTCGGCATCTGCTGGCCCAGTGGATTGAAAATCAGGACTGGTAGGATCAAACATTGTTTTATTTCTCCTAGAGGTTGATGCTCAAATGCTTCATACTCTATCCATATGGATTTATTCTATGGCCTGCTTTTGACTCAAAAGGTGCATTCTTTTCAGATAAAAAAACTTCTTCAAAATTTTGGAAAGCTTTTTCAAAGCAGGAGAATCATTGTCCTTTCTGGTTCCATCCATTGTAGATGAAAAGTTAATTGTACTAGAGTTTTGTTTTTCTGTAAGCCAAAACCCCAACAATTTTCTAAATATTAAAAATCCAAGAAGTAAATCTACTATTTATATCAATTGTATATCATAGACTGAATGTAAACAAATCTTTTTATTACTGTGTTTTACAAACATTCTTTAACTTTATTCACCTTGTACAACTAGAAAAAAACTTTCTTTGCTTTAAACAAGTCATCTAACTTTTTTACTGTGGTAAAATATACTAATATAAAATTTACCATTTTAACCATTTGTAAGCATACAGTTTAGTGTAATTAAGTACATTCACATTGTGCTACCATCACCATCATCCATCTCCAGAACTTTTTCACCTTCCCAAACTGAAGCTTTATGCTCATTCTCCCCATCTCAGCCCCTGGCAACCACCTTTCTAATTTCTGTCTCTATGAATTTAACTACTCTAGGTATTTCATATAAGTGTAAGCACAAAATATTTGTAATTTAGTGACTGACTTATTTCCCTTAGCATATACATTTTTCAATATTCATCATGTAGCATGTGTCAGAAGTCCTTCCTTTTTAAGGCTGAATAATAATGCTATTCATTCTATTGTATATACTGTCATATATATATATATATATATATATATATATATATATATATATATATATATATATATAAAGACACACACACACACATGCACATATATACAACATTTTGTTTATCCATTTATCCATCAATAGACATTTGAGTTGTTTCCACCTTTTGGCTATTGTGAAAAAAGCTGCTATGAACATTAGTGTACAAATATCTGTTCAGGTCCCTGCTTTCAATTCTTTTGGGTATCTACCCAGAAGTGGAATTGCTGTATGTAATTCTGTGTTTATATTTTGAGGAATCTCCATCCTGTTTTCCACAATGGCTGCATCATTTTTCGTTCCTACCAGCAATGCACGAGAGACCCAGTTTCTCCACATGTTACTACTTATTTTTTATTTTCAATAATTGTATCCCAATAGATGTGAAGTAGTATCTTCTTGTGTTTTGATTTGAATTTCCCTAGTGATAAGTGATGTTGAGTGTATTTTCCTTTCTGGTTTCATCCATTGTATACATTTTTTTTCAAAAAACCTTTAAATGTTTATTACTGTGGAATAGATTTATCACTTTAAAATTAATGTGGTAAAAAAGTAGACATTTTACTAAGTTGTTTCCTGCTGTGTAATAACACTTTTGTTTTTCAGGGAGGCGGCTTCTAACAATGAAACCATGGCAACAATTCTTCTTCAAAACTTGTTAATACAACTGGATGACCAGTTAGGTCGCGTTTCGAAAGAGAAAAACCTACTCTTGATACACAATCTGAAAAGAATAAGGAAAGTCCTTCAGGTGAGAATGCATTCTACTTTTTCAAAATATTTGAATTTATGAGTCTTAAATTCAGTAAAAAAAAATCAAATATGTACCCTTATGTTATTTTCAAACTAGATTTAAGAGTGTAAAGTCTGAATTCCCTTACCATTTTAAATTTTGTGCCCAATTTTATTTCATTACCCAATGTTTGTTTTTCATGAAATTCTGAATCTAGAGTGTGCTGTAAGTGGAAGGGTATGTGTGGTTTATGTGTGACTATTTGATAGGTAAGATCAAATTTGACAATGTAGGGATTTGAAAGATAATAGTTTTGTGGCTATTCCCCAGCCCTCCCTTGCCTTTGTCTCTTATGTAACAGTTTAGAGTTAGTATTCTCATTCATAGATGGAAGCATTATGGTTGTATTTTCCTTCCAGATTTGGTTATTTCTCCTCCTTCAAAAACATTCTTTGGTGTACTCTCACCCCCTGTTCCAAAGGTTCACACAGGCAAAGCCCATCTCTGTGTTCCTACAGCGCCTGGAAACACATCTGTACCATAGCATTTAATATATTCTACATTAGTGTTATGTCTGTGTCTTTGTATTCTCCCCCAAACTGTGGGTTCCTTAAGACAAGGATTTTAGCATTCAGCGTTGAATTCCCAGCACCCACCACGAGGCTGGACATAGGGTAGATATGTAATATTCATTGATTAAAAGGATAAATGAATAAAGTGAGTGAATCAGGGATGTAAATAATTAAGAGCAGGGTAATACTGAGTAAACCCAGAGGTGTTAATGTAGCAAACTCTTTCCAAGGACGGCTGTAATATTTACTGAGTGCCTATACAACATATTAAATAACACGAAAAGTACAAGTGCCGTTTCTCAGTGAGGCATTCTTAGAATCCCAAACTTACAATGAATATATTTTTAGAAAATTTTACCTAGACTATAAAACAAGTGTGCTTGAAGTTACTAACAGTTGTGAGAGGGACATATATTGTTTTTCTTCTTATTGTTTGGGTGGAACTGAGCCATTTTTGCCTTTGTCATCCCCTACAAATTTGCAAGATACTTGGCCAGGGTAGAAAAATAGCGTGTTGCCAACAAAATGGGGTCTTTCGCAGCATAAAGCAAACTATCTCTGATGGCAATAAGACATTTAACCTTGGCTGCATTAACTTAATGCTCTACTCAATAAATCTTAACACAGGGGTTGGGATATTGCTTCCTACAAGCCAAATGTGGCCATGGCTTGTTTTTGTATGGCCTGTGACTAAGAATGTTTTTTTCATTTTTAAGTGGTTGAACAAATAAAAATAAATACATCTGTGACATGAAAATAATATGAAATTCGAATTTCTGCATTTTAGTGGAACATGGCCATTCTAATAGCACACTGACTATGGCTGTTTTTTCCTACAACCACAGAGTTGAGTAGTTGTAACAGAGATTGTATGGCACCAAAAGGCTAAAATAAAAATATGTGTATGTGATTTTGTGTGTGTGTGTGTGTGTGTGTGTGTGTGTGTGTGTGTGTGTATCAGGCATATTTATCTTGCCCTTTATAGGAATGTTTGCTGACCTCTGGCCTAGAAGCAAAGGTGGGCACAGATGGGTAAAATGGATGATGTATGGTCTTTGAAAATTCTGGCTCTCAAAATGTGGCCTTGGGAAAATCACTTAATCTTTCTGAATTCCTGTATCTTTTAGTGTAAATGAGAATGATTGTTATTTGCCTTTTGAAATTGTAAGGAAGACTGGAGTTTTTATTCTGCCAAAAAAAAAACAACTTTCAATAAATGGTTCTTGTTGATAGGGAAAATAGCAGGAGCTTGCTAGTATAAATCAAGTGTACAGGCCATCTTTTTTTTTTTTTTTTTCCTGTGTGAGTATCAGATTGTGAGGCAGCTCAAGAGCCCGCAATAACTCCCAGTCACATTTCAGCTCAAGCTCGAACTCTTGTGCTTATGTCACTGGCCCTTCAGCATCCGGCCTCTGTAGACTTTTACCAACAAACTGCCCTGAGCTGCTCAACACCGTTGCTCCAGAAAAATAAACCTACTCCTTATTCCCAAACACACCAAGATCACGGTTGAATAGACTCTGAGCCTATTCCATGGCTGTCCCATGGCCAGGAATGTTCTGCCTTCCCTCTTCCTGCAATCCACTTCCCATTTATTCCTGGAGGAACTGTGGAGGCCCCGGGACTGCAAGGAAACCCTCACCCACGTATGAGCCCTTTTTCTCATCCTTCGCAGAGCACTGGTTACGAGAAAACCAGCATCTCCTCTGTGCTGGATGTGTCTAAGCAGGTCACAAGCTCTTTGAGGGTAAAAGCCTGACCTCCTTTTGTGACCTCTCTCTTCTACTACCCAGTATGGTTCTACTACAAACTGGGAACTCAACAAGCAGTTTGGTTAGTTGAAATATTTTGAATTGACAAAAACACTTGCTGTTTCTTTTTTATGCTTCTGCATATTTTGTTTTATAAACTATACTTACTGGGTATTTATATATTAATTCAGAACACAGTAGAAAATAGTAATAAAGAACGTGTCAACTATGGTTTTACACCTAAACAACCCTGCATTTTATGTTTCTTTTTAGTCTATCATGTTCCCATTAAGTTTTTTTCATACAACAAGTCTTTTTTGTTAAAATATGAATCCCCTGCCCCCCCCACCCCAAAAGGAGGAAAAAAAAACTATCGAAAGATTATTGATACTATGCTTATCTGGTTTAAGCATTTTCATCCTCTGGATTTTTAAATGCAATCTAGTTTAACTATTATAAGGAAAAAAGAGCAAATAATATGGCACCAGGGGAACTAAGCCAGGTGTAAGGAAGATTTATTTTAGTTCTTTATAGAGCAGTTGAGGTCTGCAGTTTCAATATTTAAATTTACTGCTTTATATTACATCTACTTCTGATAAGAATTTAGAACAGCTTGTTGTAAAAGACAAATTAAACAAAACCACTGAATCAAGAGAGTAAAGGCAAGCTCCAAGATGGGAAACAGTGAACACTGATATCCAGCTAGCCTTACCCCTTCAAGGGGAGGCAGTCTCAGGTCAAGAACAGGAGCGAGGACTGTGGCAGGTGGAATCCTGGCTCTGTGACTCACTTTCTGTGTGTCCCAGGGCAAGATATTTACACTCTGTGGCGCATGTCGTAAGGGCTATGTTAGGATTTGCTAAAAAATAAATATCTACCCCAGATATTTTAAGAATGTTTCCCCCTGTTCTTAGACCTTAAACATAAAACCACAATAGATTTTATTTTTTTAGAGCAGTCTTAGGTTTACAGAACAAGTGAGCAGAAAGCACAGAAAGTTCTCACACACCCCCTCTCCCACTTTCCCTTCTCAGTTTCCCCCTGTTGTTCACATGGTGCATTGGTGTAGTACACTTATTACAATTGCTGAACCTGTGGGGCTATAGTACCGTAGAGCCCCTTTAGCCACAGTTTCACTTTCTGTGGTCTCAGTTACCTGCTGCCAATTGCAGTGCAAAAACATTAGATAGGACATTTCAGAAATAAACAATTTATAACTTTTAAATTGGGCACCCGCCATTCTGAGTAGTGTAATGAAATCTCATGCCGACTTGCTCCACCCTGCCCCTGATGTGAATCCTTCCTTTGTCCGGTGTCTCCACACTGAGTACGCTGCCCACCTGTTAGTCACTTAGTAGCCATCTTGGTTATCAGACCCACTAGAATATTATCATTGTTCTATTTTATTATTAGTTGTTTTAAATCTCTTACTGTGCCTAATTTATAAGTTAAACTTTATCATAGATATGTATGTAAAGGAAAAAACATAGTACAGAGATCTCCAACTTAGGATTTTTTTTGAGTGCATAAGTGTTATGCATGCAATAGAAACTGTACTTTGTTTGTTTGTTTGTTTTTTAAGCTGAGCCATCCTGCCACCTGTTTGCAGCTCAGCAGCTGCTCAGCTCAGGCCGGGCATCAAACCACTGTTGGTCAGAGCTCAAACTCTTGAGCAAGCTCTTAATCAACTGAGCCACTTGGCCAGCCCAGAAATGTACTTTGAATTCTGACCTTTTCCCAGGCAAGTGATATGCAGGGTAATACTCTTTTGTGACGCTGGGCAGCAGTGGTTAGCCATGTAATCACGAGTAAACAACCAATTCTCTATTGTGTATTCATTGTGTTCGATGATTTTACCTAACTGTAGGCAATGTAGGCGTTCTGGGCATGTTTAAGGTAGACTAGACTAAGGTATGATATTTGGTAGGCTAGGTGTACTAAATGCTTTTTTGACTTATGATATTTTCAACTTACAATTGGTTTATTGGGATGTAACTCCATCATAAGTCAAGAAGCACCTGTATATGTAGGGTTCAGTACTTTCTGTGGTTTCAGGCACCCAGTGGGGGTCTTGGAATGTATCCCCCATGGATAAGTGGGGACCACTGTACTATAATTTGTTTATCCATTTTTGGCTATTTTGAGTAAAGCTGATGTTAACATGTATGTGAAGATTCTTGTGTGGGCATGAGTTTTCAACCCATTGGGATAAGTATCTAAGACCTTGATTGCTGGGTCTCTCTGCTCTTGGACTTCCTGTTGCAAACTTATTTTCCTTGTTCACCCTCCTCTCTGTGTCTCAGTCTGTTTGGGCTGCTATAACAAAAATAAAACTGGTTAGGTGGGTTTTAAACAAAGACATTTATTCCTCACAGTTCTGGAGGCTGGGAAGCCTAAGATCAAGGCGCTGGCAGTTTTGGTGTTTGATTCAGCTTCCTGATTCATAAATGACTGCCTTTTCACTGTGACCTCACATGGCAGAAGGGCAGGGGAACTCTCAGTCACCTCTTCTATAAGGACATCACTCTCATTCATGAGAGCTCTGCCCACTGGACCCTCATGACCCAGTTGCCTCCCAGAAACTCTACCTCCTAATACCATCACATTAGAGGTTAGGATTTCAACATATGAATTTGGAGGGACACAAATATTTAGTCTATAACCTTTCTCTCCGACTCCCTCAGATAGAATGGCT